GGCCCTGCAATAGAGCCTGGGAGAACCTGGGGCCTGCAGATTCCGAAGAAGGTGCTACCACAGCCAGTTATTTTCGTTTTAGTTTGTCATAACTGATAATGGCTTATCTTTCTGATGGCATTTCCTTAAAGGGCTCCTCTGCTTTTTTTTAAAGCATGTCCTAGTACAAGAGCTAAGCTCAAGGTGCCACCGTAGCATGGAGGACATGCCTGAATTATGTGCTGTGGCAGGAAGACATGCACTGAGTTTATCTAAAAACTCTAAGACATTATTCAGGAATTACACACGAGGTCTTAGAGAACAGCCTTGCTTTATACTTTTTAAGACAGGAATTTGCTTGGTTGCAGTGGTTCTCAACCTTCCTAATGCCGTAACCCTTTAATACAGTTCCCCATGTTGTGGTGACTCCCAACCATAAAATTATTTTCGTTGCTACTTCATAACTGTAATTTTGCTACTGTTATGAATCGCAATGTAAATATCTGATATGCAGGATGTATTTAGGCGACCCCTGTGAAAGGGTCATTCGACCCCCAAAGGGGTCGCGACCCACAGGTTGAGAACCGCTGGTAAAGGAAACCTCCATCCACTCTGATTCTGGAGGAGACACTGTGGTAAAGGCTTTCAGGAATGTTGATAGTGCAGAATTGGCATTAGCCCACAGACAATTCCCGTCCACCAAATGAAAGTCTAATGAGAGACTGACACATGCAGAAGCTTGCAAAAGCTGGACATTGTAAGGTCCTTATGAAACTCATTTCAAAGGAGATGTAGGCAAACATGGCTCTGGGAAACCAATGCTATTTAAACAGTTGCTCAACTGATGAATGGAGAGGACCCAGAGACAGGGAAGCATGAAACAGAGTGTAGACTCTCAGAGGGAAGGTGGGGGACAGTGGGTGGGCGAGAGGTGATCAACCAAAGAACTTGTATGCATTATATGCATAACCCATGGACACAGACAATAGGGTGGTGAAGGCCTGGGGCAGGGGCTAGGGCCGGCTGGAGGGGGGTCAATGGGAGGAAAAGGGGGACATATGTAATACTTTCAACAATAAAGATTTTTTAAAAAAATAAACAGTTGCTCAAAAACTAACTTCACCATGGATGTGAGTACTCCACTCTGATTCTGGAGGAGATAATGGGGTAAAGGCTTTCAGGAATGGTGGGTGAAATCATTTCTAGAGGATCTCTCAAAACCTACCAAATAAGCCCTAGCCGGTTTGGCTCAGTGGATAGAGCATCACCCTGAGGACTGAAGGGTCCCAGGTTTGATTCTGGTCAAGGGCACGTACCTAGGTTGCAGGCTCAATCCCCTGGCCCTGGTCAGGGTGTGTGTGGGAGGAAACCAATGGATGTGTCTCTCTTACATCAATGTTTCTGTCTCTTCCCCTTTCTTCCACTCTCTCTAAAAATCAATGGAAAAATATCCCCGGGTGAGAATTAACAAAAAACAACAACAACAACTACCAAATGAAGACTTTTACAAAAAGGCATTTTCTTATCAGGTCAGATATTTTATCATTGGTTTCAGTCTCTCTTGAAGTCTTTTTATTCAAAACCAATTTAATTACAAAAGATCAGCATACGATTTCTTCTGTGTGACCCTCAGAATCCTCAATTCTGCAAAGAAAAACAACTACAAAAATGTCTTCCAGAGTGATCATTTCCTATGGTATATAAATATCTAATCACTATGCTGTACACCTGAAACTAATGTAACATTGTTTGCCAGCTATAATTGAAAAATAAAAATTTTAAAAATTCTTCCAGCTGATGGGAGAGCAGACAGGCAAGAAGGCATTTGTGCCTTTTATCTGAGGATTTCCTTTCGCATAAACTTGTATGATGGATCTGGAGTGTGACTTCGTGGGTTCAAATCCTGACTCCACCCCAGTTTAGCTGTGCTACCTTGAGTAAGTCACATAACCTCTCTGAACCCCAGATTCCTCCTCTGTAATCGGGAAACAGATACTCGAAGCTCCAGTAAAATTCCAAAACACAGGGTTGTCACATGGTAAACGCACACCTTTTACATTTACACTTGACGACCGTGGAGGCCCAGAGGTACACTTCCTACCTGATGAACTAAGACATCCCACCTTTCCCACGGGCTTGCCCTCCCCCCAGCATTGCTGCGAAGACCTTTCCTCTCAAAAATACTTTGTACCAGCCGGTAGGAGCGGGTGCAGCCAGCCCGAGGCCAGCGCGGGCTCCTGCGCCTCCTGCCTGCGGCTGCCCCTTTGAAAGAAGCATTCCC